CAGCCGCTTATCTAAGTTATGCAAAGTACTTTTTACTTTTATGGCAGCCACTTATACACTTATACTTACACAGTTATGCTTAAAGAAGTTGGATTTTTTTATAAAGTCTGTGTTTATTAAATACTCTAAATTCACGAAAGTTTTGACTATTGACGTGATGGCGGACGCATAAATATAGTATATACCCAGATTTGTATCAAATTTTTAAAAATTGATATCATATTACGGTCACTTTAGTTTCCTGTGAACGTGTATTATCGAAAGCTAAGTACATAATAAATGATGGAATGACAAGCTAATCACAGCTAAAGTAGCACAAATAATATTTCTGAACATTAATAAAATATAACTAATAATCATGTCTACATAGAATTATTACGTACATGTCTACATAATAAAGGAATAAAATAAAAAAAATATTAAAGGAAAAAAATATAAAACATTTATATTAAATGTAAATACTAAATACATAATAATCACTGTAAGTAATAAACAATTTATTGTAAATCATAACATAATATAATGTAAATATTGAATTAATAAACCTTTAAAAAGCCTAGCTTAATAATATTTTAATACTAAAGAGTCCTGTAGCTATTAAAGTGAAGAAGCAATAAAATTAACACAACCGGTTAAAAGTATAAATTTACTACAACAGTAAGTAATATATTTAACTGTTAATTTAATCTCTTAAAAAATTAACAGTTAACTTTTAACAAATAAATAAATTTAACCATTAACGCCATGTCTACTCCGGCGTAACTACTAATATTTCCAAATGCGTTGAGGGCGTTGACGTAAATTGACGGCTAATACTATCAACCTATTTTTTCATTAATGATTAACAGTTAACACATTGACGAATGAAAAGCTGTTAAAAGAAACAGTTTATTGATTCAACGCCCACCTCTAGTCTGCTGCAGTAATCTATGGTCTGCTGTGATACTAGAGAGTGCTGGCTGTGGCTGTTCACAATCATTGTTGTGTTATTGTTTCTTATTTATTTATAAGTCATCTGCTAAGAATGTGTCTTAAAGAATATAGATTGATTGTGTGCTACCAGTTGTTTGATTAATTATGTGTTAGGGTTGAGTGATAAATCGTAATTTACTGTCCTTGTTGCTGTTGTCATTCGTGAACGGGCGTGAACATCCGGAACGATTCCATGTTTTGTAATTAATTTGCTCGCCATTACAGTATTGTGTCTGTTTGTACGTGATGCTAGACAGAAGACAGTGTTAAAGTTTGCGAATATATTGCGATAATGTCGCTTCAGAAAAGTATAAAGAGCACGGGGGATCGTGGTGACCAGGCAGACAACACATCAATATGCTCTTCGGTGACTACCCAGCCCGACAGGCATGGTTTTTTTGGAGGAGCTCAATACAGTCCAGAGCCGTAAGTCTATATTTACTGCAAAATAAATTATAATTTTTTAAATGAAGTGTGAATGAATGACGACTCATATAGTTTTGTCCGTTTGTGGTTTTGGTATTTATGTATGTTTTTTGAAATATCGGGAATCTTAATGCGGTACAACTTTCCATTGACGTCCGTCGAATTGAAGGTAGGAGGGGGGTGGGGGGAGTGCGGGGAGGAGGTGTACTACTCCCCCTTAAAAGGAAAAGTTGCGGAGCCCCCCCTTTTTGAGTTTTTTCAATTTTAATTCTGAGGAAATTTTATTTTTTATAGATAAATATTAAGTGTAAAAAACCATGGGGACCTCTTGGGGGGGAAGGGGGTACCCCGTAAGGAAGGGGGAACCCCCTTCACCAAAAATAAATAGAGCGACTCATTCAGAGGGATTTCTGTATCTATTTTGAGACTGCAACATCTCCGGCGCTGCGGGAAGAGCAGCCTCTATGCCTTTGCGTAACAAATCGTAGGCATCGGACGAGCCGGAGCGGCTGAGGCTGGAGCCGCCGGCGAGCACCAACAAGCTCATAATGATAATAATTCTGTAATTTAAATATAAACTGTTAAATATAAGTGTATGCATGAAAACTATTTAAATGAGTACAAAATATAATTATTTACGTATAATGTACACTAAAATGCTACCGTTCGATGGCGAACGTTCAATGGCGAGAATACGATGTAATCTGTGGTAAGGATTGACGTAAATATTATAAAAATAATTGATTTTCAATAATTTTTTCTCAAAAAGTACGCGTTTCCGCATGTTGAAATTTTGCGTGTGTGTTTACAATAGTGTAACCTTTCTGTAAAAAAAATATCATATAATCTGAGATAGGGATTGACATAAATATTGCAAAAATAATTGATTTTCAATCATTTTTTTCTCAAAAAGTACACTTTTCCACATGTTGAAACTTTACGTATGTGCTTATATTAATGTAACCTTTCTGTAAAAAAAATATCAACCCCCAACTCGACAGACGTCAATGGAAAGCTTAGCCATGCACCAACTATATGTGACATATACTATATTATTTACGCATAATGTTGCCCATACTGACTATTCTGATCAGATATGTTGGTAAATGCTACATTTATACCTTCACTACTCTTCTGCTGCTCATCGTCTCTAGTCTTTATGTTCACCGATTATTCGAAGATGCTTGAACCGATTTGTAAAATTCTTTTTTTTTTTGAACCTAGTGCTTGTCGTATGGTCTGATATAAATTTGATTAAAATCTGAAATTTTTTAATTTTACCACTTGTATAATTATAATACCATTAATCTATGGTTACAGCTGTTATTGCAGCAATGAACAGTGTGCATCATGCGCCAGTGTGGTCTCTATATGTAAAAGGTTCCAGTACACAAATTTTACAGATTGTATCATGCTTAATATCTACTTAATTTAAATTCCCAGTATTTCAAGTCCTTCTCAGTAACAGTAATAGGGAAGTACTATGAAGTATTACCATAAGCGTTTAAATCTGCAATTGATTTAGAATTTTACAGATTGTACATGCTTAATATCTACTTAATTTAAATTCCCAGTATTTCAAGTCCTTCTCAGTAACAGTAATAGGGAAGTACTATGAAATATTACCGTTAGCGTTTAAATCTGCAATTGATTTAGAATTTTACAGATTGTACATGCTTAATATCAACTTAATTTAAATTCCCAGTATTTCAAGTCCTTCTCAATAACAGTAATAGGGAAGTACTATGAAATATTACCGTTAGCGTTTAAATCTGCAATTGATTTAGAATTTTATAGATTGATTCACGCTTAACATCTACTTAATTTAAATTCCCACTATTTAAAGTCCTTCTCAGTAACAGTAATAGGGAAGTACTATGAAATATTACTGTAAGCGTTTAAATCTGCAATTGATTTAGAATTTTACAGATTGTACATGCTTAATATCTACTTAATTTAAATTCCCAGTATTTCAAGTCCTTCTCAGTAACAGTAATAGGGAAGTACTATGAAATATTGCCATAAGCGTTTAAATCTGCAATTGATTTAGAATTTTACAGATTGTACATGCTTAATATCTACTTAATTTAAATTCCCAGTATTTCAAGTCCTTCTCAGTAACAGTAATAGGAAAGTACTATGAAATATTACCGTAAGCGTTTAAATCTGCAATTGAATTAGAATTTTACAGAGTGTACATGCTTAATATCTACTTAATTTAAATTCCCAGTATTTCAAGTCCTCAGTAACAGTAATAGGGAAGTACGTTTTGGTTTTTTCTTGTATGTATGTGCTAACCTTTTAATAGGTTAGGTTGGAGATTTGAAAAATTACATATTTTTGTGCCTTAAAAATGAGATGTGCAGTATCAGGACCCTTAGGTTCTGAATACTTTCTCAGTATTTTCATAGTATAGTATTTATTATTAGTTATTAAAGTATTTATTTCAAAACAATTATTTAGGAATGCTTACACTAAATTAATGCTTAACAGCTATGTTTAAGAAGTTTAATCATATGATGGTCACTTAACCCAGATATTACTGAAACTTTTTTGTTTTGGATTGCACTGATTTTTGAGTATGTTGTACTAAAACAATGTAATAATATTGAAAAAAAAAATTGTGGTCAGAAAAAGCTGGAAAACAAGTGGCGTTATAACTCCCAATAGTAAGATTGGCTACTAAAACTAAAATATTTTGGGAATTAAATAAAACACAGATTATATTGCTTGTAATGGTTTATTTGCCAAGAACTTAAACATTGGTATGATATGAAACAAAACATATTTTTGGGTGTAAATATAATAACTGATATTTACGACGCATGAAATTTGTTTTTTTCTTACAAATAGTGTAACAACTGAGAATCTTCATATGTAATAAAATGATCAATGCGAGGACTCTCTATAGTTGCTAGGAGTACAGCAAGGTCCACATTTTTCAGTTCTTTTATATGTCTCCAATAATCCTCTGGCAACAACTCTACGAAAAGTCAAGTGCTCCTATTCTCCACCATCACTTTTATATAACTGCCAGGCATTGTGGGTAGCTATATCCAAGCTGTGGCAAAATAACGAAAAATACCATTTTTTCCCCAGATTGAAGTTCTGTATAAGCCAATATTTTGATCAGTTCTATCGACTTCACCCACGTTTTCATTGTATGTTTTTATGATAGTAGGTTGATCAATAAGCACATTCCTTTTTAATTATTGAGAAAATCATTTGGCTTTGTGAAGCGGCTCAATTGTTTCCGCATTAGATGCAACACTTACAACACTATTGTCATTCCATTTGCAGACTAAGATCTGCTTGGGTTGGCTAGACCTAAACACAAATGTGCCCCTTTATGTCTTTTTGAAAACCTAGTTTTCGAATAGTGGACATCTAGAGGTACGATTTTCACAAATAGTTCCTGTAGCTCTCAATCCTCTATTACTCAATTCGTGAAATAGAGGAATCGAATAAAAAAAATTATCAAAAAACAGATAAAATTGAGTGTTTGGGTTGCATGACTGTAAAACATCAGCAAACCTCAAGATTACACAAGCCCCTAAATCCTAATAATAAATTGAGTGTTTGAGTTGCATGACTGTAAAACATCAGCAAACCTCAAGATTATACAAGCCCCTAAATCCTAATGATGCATGCTATAAATAAAAAAAATTGTTTGTAGCATGCATCCAAAAAACATACCCCAACCTATACATAGCTTATACCCCCATCAGATTGGTTTTCCGCATATAAACTTTTCACATCCTCTATAGTATTACACTATAATTTTGCTCAAAAGGTGCCATGTATGAGAAAATTTTATTTAGTAAATCAAATAAAGGACACAAAGTATCTGTATGAATGACATTGTTGTCACAGCAATGTAAAAATCATTTTTAATGCTGATGGCTCCTTGCAGTACAATTATGTCAATGAGTCAGTCAGTCATTTGGTAAGTAAGTGGGCTTGTAAAACTGTAATTTCGATTTCATATTATAATGACAATTAGATTAATACACAAATTAATATAACAGAATGACTCTTCGTCTACACAAAAAATAATAACACAATAAATATTATTATTATTATTATTATCTGGTAATAGGCGAGCAGCTTATAGCTGATATGCCTATATCTGTGTTGGTGTTTTATATTAGTCCAAGTTCACACTAGGGATACACTAAATTGGATTGTCTTTACACCATTTGTCCAATTTGTTTTTAAAACTAATCACAGAGGGAGCATCTACCAAGTCTTGAGGCAACTTGTTCCATATGTTTATGATTCTGTTGTTTAGTGTGTGATGTCCCACATTAGTGTATGAGCGGGTGTGGGCCAATCTCATATAGTTAGGATGTCTAGGTCGGTGGATACTGCTGATGTTAAAAATATGTGGCAGCTCTTTGCAATTATATTTATGTGTCAATATTTTGTAGGTTTCAATAAGGTCTCCTCTGGTACGGCGAGATTTCAGCGTTGTTAGATTCAATATTTTTAATCTCTCTTCATATGGCTTTTTGCGAAGGCATAATGGAATTTTTGTGGCTTTTCTCTGTACACTCTCCAGCAAATCCACATCCTTAAGAAAATAGGGGTTCCAAATTTGAAATCCATACTCTATCAGCGGTCGGACGTATGTTTTATAAACCTTAAGCAATGTATCTGGAGTCAGATGCTGAAACGATCGTCTGATTGCATACAAAATGCTGTTTGCTTTTTTGACAATACTATGGATATGGTCAGCCCACTTGAGGTCCGATGATATTAAGACACCTAAATCCTTGTGTGAGTTGACTGACTGTACTATTGAATTTCCAATATTATACATTTCTCTGGGATTGTTTCGGCCTAGATGCAGAACTGTGCACTTAGAAGGATTAAGTCTTATAACCCAATTTTTTGTCCACTCCTGTATACGCTCTAAGTCTTCTCTTAAGGTTCCCTGGCTCAATAGAGGATTTCCGAAGTATTTCACATCATCAGCAAAGAAACAGGCTTCTGAGTGTATTACAGAACTCAGATCAGCAACAAAAATGCCAAAGAGGGTAGGAGCGAGTACAGATCCTTGTGGCACTCCACTTAAGACGTCTTTAGGTTGCGAATATACATTACCAACTCTTACCTGAAAGGTTCTTCCACTCAGATAATTTTTGATCCATTTCAGAAGATTTCCTCGGATACCCAGATGTTCCAATTTAACCAAAAGACGTCTGTGTGGTACCTTGTCAAAGGCCCGTTCAAAGTCCAGGTAGAATATATCCAAGGGATTATGTTTATCAAGTTCCTCAGTCCATCTGTGGTAGCAGGAAAGAAGGTTAGTTGTAGTCGAGCGCCGTTCCACAAAACCATGCTGGTTATCCGGAATAATTTTCTCATTTGCTAGGAATTTTTTTACTTTTTTACATATAATCTTCTCCATACATTTGCAAACAATACTAGTTAAGCTGATTGGCCTGTAGTTAGCTGGATCTAATTTATCACCCTTTTTAAAAACAGGTGTTACTATAGCATGTCTCCAGTCTTTTGGTATCTCACCTGAAGCATATGATTCATTCAAAATATTGACCAAGACAGGTGTGATGGTTTCAGCGCATGATTGGAGAAATACTCCAGGGACATTATCAGGCCCAGTAGCAGAGTTTACATTTAGGGACTTGAGAACCATAAGCACATCCTGTGATGTGAACTTGATGTCATCTATGGAGTTTTTAACTCTTGGTATAGGTATGGAAATATTATTAAGGTCAGGTTCCAATGAGTATGTTTTCTCAAATTCACAAGCAAATGCTTCGGCAATTTTAGACCCTTCAACCACAAGATTGCCAAGTTCATCACGTACCACAGGCGGCAGACCAACTTTAGAAGCCATGCAACTGCGTAGGTGAGTATAGAAGGGTTTGTTTCCACTCTCGACAATCTTGGCTTCGTAAAGACTTCTAAGTCTTCTTGCTTCACTAACACACCTGTTATTGCAGTCTCTGTATGCCTTATATTTTGTATCGCATTTCTTGTCTGCCACATATGAGTCCCATAAAATCTTTTTCTGTTTTGTCAATTCAACAATGGAAGCATTTATCCAGGGTTTATTTAGATTTTTCTTTTTTTTAACCATATTGAGAGGAGCATGTCGGTCTAAAACAATTTCCACTTCATCCTTCAGGGCCATCCACTGTTCATCAACTGATTTACTCCAGTCATGACTACATAGCTTGTTTTTGAGCTCTGCATTAACAATCTCATAGTTTATTTTATGTAAAGCACGTCTAAATAATCCTTGCGCTGAAGGGCTTGAGATGAGGTATTGAATTTGAAATTCAATTACACAGTGATCACTTTTACCAATTGGAGCTGAGTTGGTAATGCCTGAGATAAGATCTTCCTCATTTGTCATTACCAAATCCAGTAGTGAGGGAATATTTCCGGATTGATAGCGGGTTGGCTCAGTGACAAGTTGGCATAGAGCTGAGTCAAAGTAGAATTTTTGAAAGAGCTGAGCTGAGTCATGCAAGCTCTGTTTATAAGAAAGAGGCCAAACAATGTCCCTGTAATTAAAATCCCCAACTATGACCATGGTGTTGTGTGCAGATGCAGTACTTAAGTTTTCATATAGTATTTTGTCCTTAATATTCCATTCCTTGTCATTGTCCGCTCTGTATATAACCACTAAGAGAAAGTGATGTGATTTTAGTTGAATATCAAGATATAATGCTTCTGTCAATTCGCTCATGTATGCACTATTTTTTTTTACAACTATTGGTACATTATTAATGAATTTCCGTACATAAACTGCTACACCACCACCTCTTGATTTTCCTCCAGGAATTATTTTTCTGTCTAATCTGTATAGTGTGTAACCTGGAATCGAAATGCTGGCTCCCTTGTCTATGCTTTTGAGCCAAGTCTCTGTAAGTAAAACAAATGTAGGGTTTTTTGTTTGTATTTCAAGAAGCAGTAAATCAAACTTAGTATTCAGAGACCAGATGTTAGTGTATAAAAATGTGAGTGTAGCGTACGGGTTGTTAGTGATTAGTTTTTTTGTTTTATAATTTTGGGTTCTCCTTTGACATATTTGATTGTGATGTCCGTTTCACCCTTCTCTTGCCTAGCCAGCAGTTCGGTACGCAGAGCCTGTAGGGCCTCTCTTTGTTTTGGTGTTTGGTCACAGTAGATTTGCAACGGTTTGCTCAACTTTTGTTTGTTTTGAAGTGCCTTGACAGCTACCCAGCGAGACTTAAACACTACTTTGAGCAAACGAGTCTTGCCTGTTTCTCTTTTTCCTAGCCTTATAATTTTAAGCACATCACTTGGGGATATTTCGTCGTTTAGATTTCTAATAATATTGTTCACCACATTTTCATCATGTTTCTGGCGTATTTGCACATCTTCCGCCTCAGATTCCTTGGTGCCCGCGATCAAAATATTGCACGCTCTGCGCTCCCGCTCACGTATTTCCGCTATAACATCGGACGTGACGGTTTTTGAAGCAGAAGTGGCATCAGTTAGGCCAGATTTCGATGCCAGTTCCAATCGCAACTGCTGTACTTCATCCCGCAATGCATCAACAGCTTTTATTAAAATCGGTACTTGAAACAGCCCCTCGCGACATGGTTTGCATAGGAACAGCATTGTACGTTTGGTTTTTAGGCCCATTACTTTGATTTCACTGCTAGTAAGTCCACTACAAGTAAAACACAAGTGTCGTTTACACCCATCACATTGCACTGCATCCTCCATATTTACGCTTTTCACACACTGATAACATTTCGTAGTAGACATGTTTGCGAAGTTTGAATGTAAATGCACAGTGAATATTGATTTTTTAATCGAAATTTAGAGTAGGAGAAAACACCAACACAACTGTTCAATTTGACAGCTGTCAAAAATTTTAACAATAAATAGTCGATAAACTTGCATCAATATTTTTTTGGGTATCTCTACTTACACGTGCCGCATGCAGACCTTCTAATTGATAGACAAAGATGCAACTATAATACTGCGTGCTTGACAAGGACAGCCTCAGAAATACGACCAGAATACGTTGAACCCTCACGTTTTTAGTATTTTAAGCTTTTTTACTACCACACCACTTTTACTGCGCAAGTAGGCATGTTTTACTGTTTTTTATTTTAAGAATTTGTAGCGCTAAGGATGCAGTGCACAGGTCTGATTTCTGGTCACTACTAAACAGGGTAGTGTTCGTGTTCAACCATATAGGCTCTGGTTGAGCAGGTGAAGTACAGAAATTTGTCGCCTTTCCTTACATGTTTCGTAGGTTAGGTGATCTCGGTTTAAATTAAACAATCTTGTTGTCCTGAGAGTGTTCTTGTGAGAGTTTTGTCTGTGAGTCTTAAGAACATATTTAACATATTTATTGCCTGCAAAAAACAGCAAAATATGATAGAAAGATACAGATAGAGGTCACACATGATAAGTCTCTTTCTAATATTGTATTAGGCATTTATGATGAAACATGGAAATTATGAATATTCTACATAATAAAACTATTCTGTTTTTTGCTTGTAATTTTGATATATAAATATTTTATATATATAAAATATATAAAAGCATGAAAGCAGGTAAGGCAGCTGGATATGATAGAGTATCACTCGAGATGCTAAGGGCTGGAGAGGGAGTGGTGGCAGGCCTGCTGTACACCTTGTTTAATTTATGTTGGGAATTAAAACGGGTACCGGATGACTGGTGTAAAGCAGTTATAGTACCAATATATAAAGGAAAAGGGTCACAGCAGGACTGCAAAAACTACCGCGGTATCAGCTTGCTTAGTATTGTGGGTAAACTGTATGCTAAGGTGTTAATTGAAAGAGTTATGAAAGAAACTGATGGAAAAATTTGGGATGTGCAAGCGGGTTTTAGAAAGGGAATGGGGTGTACAGATCAAGTCTTTTCCATGCGCATGATTGCGGAGAAGTTTTTGGCCAAAAACCAGAAAGTTTTTTGTGCGTTCATGGACTTGGAAAAGGCTTATGACAGAGTGGACAGGAATGTGTTATGGCAAACACTGAACTCATATGGGTTGAGCGCTGGTTTGATACAGGCATTGAGGTCTCTTTATAGGGACTCTAGTGCTTGTGTCAGGATCAATGGGGTCTACTCGGACTGGTTTGGCATCCAAAAAGGTGTCAGACAGGGCTATGTGGCTTCCCCTTGGCTGTTCAACCTATTTATGGACCGGTGTTTGCAAACTTTGAAAGATGAAGAATGTGGGTTAAGGATGGGCGAGTTAACCGTCAAATGCCTTTTGTATGCCGATGATCAAGTCATATTTGCGTCATCGGCGGCAGAGTTGCAAATGATGGTTACATTAATGAACTGGGAATTAAAAGAAAGGGGAATGAAAGTGAACGCAAGTAAGACGAAAGTGATGGTTTTTGAAAGAGAAGAAAGCAAAACGGTATGTGAAATAAGAATAGAAGGAGAGTTGATTGAGCAAGTGGATGAGTTTGTGTATTTGGGATGTGTATTTAGCAGGGATGGTATGAGGTAATGAGGTAGGTGGGGACTGCCTTTTGAAGACGGTGCAGCACGTATGGTAATTCATAATGCTGTGTTAGTCCCTACTTTAATGTATGGTAGTGAAAGCTGGGTGTAGCAGAAGAAGAAGCACGAAAGTAGAATAAATGCTGTAGAAATGCGGTCTTTAAGGAATATGTTAGGGTGTAATCTGAATGACAGGGTGAGAAATTGCGTGATAAGAGATAAATGTGGTATGCAAAATGATGTTGTGACCAGGATTAAGAAAGGAATGCTTCGGTGGTTTGGTCACGTAGAAAGAATGAATGAGGAAAGAGTGACAAAGCAAATTTATATGGCAGATGTGAATGGCCGAGTCGGGAAGGGACGCCCTAGGAAAAAGTTTATCGACCAAATTGGCGATATTTTGAAAATGGGCCATGTTAGAAGTACCCTTAACCGACGAGCATGTATGCGTAGATATATGGATGTAAAGGAGGCGAAAGAGGTATGTCAGGATCGTGCCAAATGGAAGTCCGTAGTCTCTGCCTACCCCTCTGGGTGACAGGCGTGAGTGTTTATGTATGTGTGTAAATATTTTATGTAGCTACATGTAATCTAATATATAAAAATTTTAATTTGTTTGTTTGTATTTTATACACTGCCATACCATTCATCAGTTTGCGGTTTTGTCAACATATTGCTTGCAATTCTGCAAAGGTTATAGGCATAGTTAGAACTGGTGGGTGGCAATGTCTTAGAATCCACATAATGCTGTAGAGTTAGTGGAGGTCGCACCCCCTCAACACCTATCCAAATATCTTTTTTCATTGCTAGAGTTTAACTCTGAAACTGATTTTTATTAAAAAACAATCAAAAATTTTAAGAATCTGAAAGGCAAAACCTAATGCTATATTGTGAGAAAAAATTGGTAATGGATCGTCCCTATACTTTTTGAAGATCTTGGTACTAACATATGTCATTATCTTCTGAACGTTGCCCAGCTGAGTCGGGTCCGTGGATTGATCCCTCCTTGTTGGACTTACCTAGTCAGACAATTTCTCCTAGGTAAATATACTTGTCAACAACTGGTATAGGTGTAACATGGATATTAGACATGACCTTTGTTTTGTCAATGGTATTTTTAAGGCTTATCCATAGTGAGATATTATTGAGGTCATTGAGTGTAGTTCTGAGGTCCTCCTGGGATTCTGATATAAGACTTATATTGTCAGCAAATTAAAGGTGAGTTATGTACTTGCCATTGACATTGATATCCATATCCTTTCCAGTTCAGTACCTTAAATGCATTTTGCAATGTAGTGGTGAAAAGTTGTCACATAAAGTACAAGTCTACTCTAAGTGACTTAAAGTAAGACTGCTGCATCACCAAATTCTACTTATAATACTCTGCCTGGTGATGCAGCAGTCTTAAACATGCCAGACAACTGATATTGTGATCATTAATTTGACTGCCTAGCATTACAATTAAGACAAATCCTTTTTTGAAGATGTTACATTATGGTTATAAATGTAATGAATAAGTTTTTAACATGGCTTAGTGTTATGTTGCAAGGCTACAGTGTTAATGTTACAGTTTTTGCAATTACAAATCTTTAATTATCGTCAGGCGAATAACCTTGAAAATAATAATAATTCTTTATTGGAGGGCTCCGGGAGAGGATTTCAGCTTCGGAAAGGAGGTACAAAAGTGACCCACCTTTTCTATATGGGTGACCTCAAATTATTCGCCTCCAGTCACTCCCATCTTATGGAATTGCTAAACATCACTTGTGAATTTAGCAATTCTATTAGAATGGAGCTGGGGACGGATAAGTGTGCGGTCCTCCATGTTGAAAGGGGAAGGGCTGCTAACTCTGAGGGCATAAACTTATCTATGCCCGTCAACTTAAGGACCCTTTCCGAGGCTGAAACATACCGATACCTCGGTATGTCACAGAACATCGGTATCGATGAGGCTGGTATGAAACAGTCAGTTTGCGACGTGTTTTATGCCCGCTTGATCAAAGTGCATAACAGCCTTTTGTCCGGTGTGAATAAGACACATGCATATAACGGTTGGGTCATGCCTGTCCTCATGTATACATTTGGCATACTCAGGTGGAGTCAGACTGAACTTAACGCCCTGGATAGAAAAGTCCGCACTACAATGACGTCCCATAGGATGCATCATCCGAGATCGTCGGTAAAGAGGCTGTACTTGCCGCGAAAGCATGGTGGGCGTGGCTGCCTGAGCGCGCTCACCATGCATAATCGCGAAGTGTGCAGCCTCCGTCATTACTTCCTGGCGAGATCGGATGATCCGTTCTATAATGACGTCATTTCTAGTGATAAAGGACCTGCCCCTCTATCCTTAGCCAACGAGCAATGGCAAGACCCGGCAGTACAGAGCATTTCCAACCGGGAGACTGTATGGAAGGAGTAGGAGCTCCACGGGAGGTACTACAGGGCTCTACATGAGCCCCACATAGATACAGCCGCCTCCCTCAACTGGCTACGTTTCGGTGACCTCTTCGGGGAAACCGAGGGTTTTGTCTGTGCAATACAGGATCAGGTTATTAAGACCAACAACTATCGGAGATACATCCTAAAGGATGGCACTATCGACGTCTGTCGCGCTTGTCGCCATCCCGGGGAGTCACTAAGGCATGTCATCTCCGGTTGTTCGGCGCTTTCTAACTTTGAGTATTTGCACAGGCACAACCTAGTAGCCAGAATTCTACACCAGGAGCTTGCTCTGAAATACGGTCTTGTGGATCGAAAATTGCCGTATTACAAGTACTTGCCGGAAGCCGTGCTCGAAAATGACCGTGCCAGGCTCTACTGGGACCGGGCCATCATCTCAGACAGGACTATTCTTGCGAATAAGCCCGATATTGTGCTGATGGACCAGGCACAGTCAAGGATATTTTTGGTCGACATTGCCATTCTGTATGACGAGAACCTCGTGAAAGCCGAAACAGATAAACGAACAAAATATCTGGACCTGGTTCACGAGGTGACCGACATGTGGAGTGGTATGCCGGCCGAAATTATTCCTGTAGTCGTCTCTGCAAATGGGCTAATCCCAGTCAGCCTCTCGGGTCATCTGAGGCGACTGGGACTCGGTGACGGACCGCTCCAGGCTCAAATGCAGAAGGTGGTGCTCCTCGATACCGCCCGCATCGTCAGCCGGTTTCTTTCCCTTTCCCCCTAACCCTCGGCCGTTTGGTCTCCCCTGCCGAGGGCCTCCATCTGGTTGGGCTTTTATTTATTGTATGTATTTTTATTGAATAAAACTATTA